AGGAATGTGATGTCACGGCATCCACCCTCCAAACCTGCTACTTCCTCCATGGAAAATGCTCTCAATTAGAATGAACAAAGAAATAAATAAAGCAGCTCCAGAATCCAATCAGTAATAAATATAAAAGCTCATAAAATTCAACCTAAGCAACAACAGGATAAAATGAAATGCTGTGTGCAGCAAACACCCCCCCCCTTCAGAACAATACATTCAGTGGAAGACAAAGAATGAGGGAGATGATTAAGCCTCCCAGGGCAGGAAATCCCAAACTTGGGGGCCACAGCTGAAAAAGCCCTGGCTCACGGTCCTTCCATTCATTCACAGCACAACTAAAGAGAAGAGCAATGCAAGCTGATTTTAAACATCACATATTCCTAATCCAACCCTTCATCCCTCACCAATAAAATCTATTTTTTTTCAGGAATCCTTTTATAGCACCCCACCCTTCCAAACACATAAAGATTCAGGTTATTTACCACTTCAAAAATTAAGATACCGGTACGAATACCCAAAATCAAGTTTTATTTTAAAACTGAACAAAGGCCACTTTCCGAGAACCGGGAAAGGACATTTCATCCACTTTGTAGACCAGCAGAGTATTTATTTTATACCAGTTGTACTTGTAATGCTCTGAAATCCTATTTCAAATTTTCTAGCAAAATGTGGGATAATTAAGGTATCTCAAAGGTGACAGGTCCCTTACAGGAATCAATATAATCGAGAGAAAAGTACACCTTGAGATGTCCTTGGTTCAAATTTCACCTCAACATACTAGCATTGCGATCCTAAGCAGAGTTACACCATTTCTAAATCTGCTGCAGTCAATAAGCTTAAAAGGGTGTAACTTTGTTTAGGATGGCACTGTAGATGGCTTTCAACAAGTTCTATCAGCACTATCTGCAATGTGGGGCTATTAATACTGTCGTATCCTTAAGGGTTATTTAAAGGCTACTGAAGCGATGTGTGCCAAATGAATTTGTTACATAAATAGTCAGGTACTATTACTATTCCTACAAAATTACCTTTCAGGATATTCAGTAACTGCCAATGGGAGGCCGATGCTGAAGTTAGCAATAGGAAACTGGATAGTCTCCTACGTTACTACTTTTGTTTTGTTTTTGGTTCATATTGTATTTTGTTATTGTGTCAACCGCCCTGAGCTCTGAGAACTCAGGAAAGGGCGGTATATAAACTGAATTTACAAATAAATAAATACATGTAGATATGTTTTTAGTTGGAGAACACCCTATGGTATCCCTCACTTCAAATAGTACATTCCCAATACACAGACTGACCACATCATGTGCTGTTTGTGCGAAAGTCTGGCCCAGCCTAGGAGGTGTGCCAAGTCTGGGGGGAGGGTGTGTTTCCACATACCTGATGAGTCATCAGTTGTCCAGACCTGCCTTACAGTCAAACTCAAAACCACTTAATGCAGATTAATTTCTCTCCAGTGCTATCAAATCAGTTTATTTTTACATAGATACTAAGAGCACCTTGAGCATGGTAAAAAGATTTGTTTCTGTCTCATGGTGTTCCACTTCCATCAAGTGTATACACAGCTGGCTGGGTCTGGAAAGCATTTAACTCATCAGCTAATTTTTGTAACAGACTCTTAAGCTCTTTGTTTTATTATTCATTTTAATGATTTCCCACATAAATGAGGTAAGTTTCAGTGGCGAGGAACACCATCAGGGCAGCAGTTGGCCCTAATCCGGCCCTGCCAGAGGAAGTTACCTAGTGATCTCACAGAGGCCAACCAAACAGCACTCTACACGGCCAGCTTCTGCTGGAAAAGAAGAGCTGCTTCAAGTTGCTTCTGAAGGAAAGCTTGCACATATGCCGCTGCAATCTTGCCACTGCGATGCATGCCCTGGTAACATCTAGATTAGATACTGCAATGCTGCATACAAGGTGCTACCCTTGAAAATTGTCCAAAAACAATAGCTAGTACAGAAAGTTGCAGTAAGAATGCTGGCTGGCCATGGGTCATAGGGACCATGTCACTCCAGTCTTGTTCTATCTAAACTGGGTTCCAATTTGCTTTCAGGTTCAATTCAAGGAGATGATATTGACCTTTAAAACCCTATATACCTTTGGACTTACATACTTAAGATCTGCCTACTTCCATATGAACCTATCTGATGATTAGGGCCTTGGTTGTAGTTGTCGGTTGGCACCGCCATGGGATGTCTCTGTGCTGGAGTGTGTGAGCTGTGCGCTTGTGCCTTGCCACCCCGCTTTTCCCTGCAGCTGTCTTCCCTCTGTTGCCTTGTTATCTCTCCGTGGCTTTGAGCCCCTGTATTCCCCGTCTTGCCTCCTTTGCCAGTCTCCCGCCCTCGCTGGGTCTGTTAGCTTTTCCCCGCGCTTGCAGGTATTTGCTCATTGGCCTCTGCTCATCAGGGGGTCGTATACGAATGAGGTATAACTGTTTAGCCTGTGCATCTTATGTTATTCCTAACACAGAATTTCATGGAGAATCCTCTACTCTGATCAAACTGATAAACTGAACCTACCCAGGTCCTGTGTGTTGTTACTGAGTTATTGGAGTACCTGACAGTAGTACCAGAACTGCGGAATGTCCCTCTCTGGGAGATTTGTCTGTCCCCCTCTACCACTGTCTTCCACCAGCAGGTGGATTTTTTTTAAGTTCAGTGCTCCCTTATTGACCTCTCTTTCCTGTTTTTTTAAACTGCTGTTTTAATTGCTGTTTTACTGCTTTGTTCATTTTAATTGACAAACTGCTTTTAAAGTTGA